AATTTTTTTTTATTCTCTATCCAACCACAACCACATAATCAATCACAAGCGCATAATCCATCACGATCTTGTGCCCGAAATAAGGTGAATGATGTACATAAGTGTGCGCTACAGTGCCAGCGGTGTGCGATACAGTGTGCACAATGAATAAATCGGGAGTTGGTTGGTAACCATGGGCGTAGCCAGTTTCGAGTTTTCCTAATATATATAAAAATTGTACCCTGAAATGCTAGCTTAATAGTGTCGGCCCCCCTCCGCCCTCCTTAAGTTTTATTCTGGATGCGTCGATGTTGGTAACAATAAAGAATGTGATTATCTAGGGGAATCCTCATGGCAGAAATAGCTTATGTTCATATTTGCTAACTTACAGGTGTCTTCTCTTAGGTACTCTATGTTTAGTAAATATTTTAGTGCAGTAAAACCTATACATATGGAACCCCTCAATTAGCGAACACTTCCCATAATCCCACAGGAGTTCAAATTTGAGTTGAGTTTTTTTCCTCTCGTGCAAATGAAAAACTCTACATTAACTTTTTTAACCGAGACTGGCCAGTTGAGGGTGGTTTCACTTTACTCTTTACTAAACCAGTTTGTAATTATTCAATTTGCTTTACTGCCCTTTTGTAGTCCGAAATTCTGTTTGTTACAAATTTTTTTCAAACATGTTTGACAAATATTTTTTTCAGTTTTTCTTTTACCGCATTTTCACGAAACTTTGCCACGTTTTTAACAGCTTTCCAAATAGTTATTTTTTAGTCTCTATTTTTTTCTAATAATGTGCTCCATTCTTTGCGCAAAAATACTACTAATTCTATTACCTTTACTTCATACCTTTCAAGTTTTTTTCTTATGTCATACATTTATTCAAGATGGCGGGTTCTTAGTTTTTTTCGATAACAATTCTTCTATCTTTGTTCTCCTTTCATATGTCTATTTATACTACTCTCTGTACTACTTCCTTTCCAGCTTCATGTGTTTAGAATTATGCTCTGCTGTTAGCACTACTTTTTTATCAGGTTGTACGTAATTTCCTCTCTTCTTTCTAGTACTCTTTGTTGAATTTCTATTTTTTCAGCATAATAACAGTTCCTTAGTCGATTTCGATGAAAATATGTAATTCTTTTTTGTTATTTTTTTACTACGTTTTCCACAGCTTAATGTACAACTTGTCTTAGTTATTAAGCCTACTTTTTATTCGATTGCATATCGTGTTTTCTGTAAAAAATTTTCTTGGATATTGACCCTACCCCTTATTACATTTGGATCAGGTTTTTCTTTCACACATTTATTTCTATTACTTTTTTGTTTCTCTTCCTACTACTTCTGTTCCAACTTTTATTTTGAAAAGGTTTTCTTTGCTTTGACACTATATTTTTTTGGGTTGTGTCGAGTTTTGCTCTCAAATTTTTATTTTTGCTACCTTTTCTACTACTTTTTGTAAAATTTTTATTTTTTCGTTTAGGTTCAATGTAATATTCTACTTCAGTTGTCTTTCCTTACCTACTCACAAATTTTGTACATACATATGTACATATATATATTTCATTAAGTCACATTTATTGCGTCTCAAAAATTGTTCAACTAAATATCTTTTTGAAGCGAATGTATTTAGGACAATAAAAAATGCGCATATATAATCTTATGATCTGATATTTTTTCGTGCATATTTTTATGTAATATATATGTAAGTCTTTAGTATGCTCAATTTTTCATGCTGGCGTAGTTTTGCTTTTAAATGTGCTACTTTGTAATAAAAATAAGCACACACACACACTCACATCGACAATTAAAGTTATTATTTTGCAACGCAATGTATGTACATACATACGCGTACTTGCAGCCTAAGGCCTTGAATCAATGATAATAATGATAATAACATCGCATTTTGCCTGGAAATAAGCAATTGCCGACTGACAGTCGACAGCACATGCAACAATAATATGCATACGCCTCGGCACGCAGCTGGCGAACAGCAGCCAGTAAGTAATAAGTTTGATGCGGAAAGCCATATTGTTGCAAGTTACTGGCAAATTTACTCATACATTACATGTTTTGCATTATTAGTTGGCACCCTCGAATCTACCGTAAAAGAACACATCCATGCAAAAAGAAAACAATCACTTGCATAATCCAAATATATAATGCAACAAAAAGCGCCAACAGCATGCCACATAAATCTCACTTGGTGTCTGCTAAATTATATATTTCAAAAAGCATTAGCTTGCAACGCTACTAAGCGAGCGTAAAAAATCAAAGTGGAAATGGGAGCAAAAGCGGCATGAATCATTTGTATGCCTGTATGCCGCCTGCCTGCCACATGGCTGATCGGTCGGTCGGTCGGTCGGTCAGCAGAAGCTGCAATTGGCGGCAGTTCTTGACAGCGCGCGCGGTGGCAGCTTTGTTGTGGACGCATTAACGCGCTATCGCTGCTCGCACTTTCTTGCCGATCGAATAAGCGCAATCGATGTGATCACCGTTGCCTGGCTGCTGCTGTTGTTGCTGCCACACAGATGATGCATGAATGCAATGTTGCTGTGGCGGTGGCTTGATCGATCTCTGTGGGGATGGCTTAGGGATAAAGTTTAACGCGATTGTTTATGATACAAATTAAACAATTTATGACAATGCACACACGCCGCAGCGAGGCCAAACAGCAACAACAAGCAAGGCGCTTTTGTTGGACAACAATAGCTACATACATACATATCTGGCCTTTGTATGCAAAATAACTCGGACACAGCAACACTTGGTGCATTGTTTTGCTGTTGCTTTTGTTGTTGTTGCAAGTAGAATGTCGTTCAGTGGCAGCAGCAGTTGCGGCAATTGCGGCACCGCACAGAAGCTTCAGGCGAATTTAGGTTGTGTGGTGCGATCGATCGAACTGTTGATCGGTGGCTTTGGCGCTGCCGCAATGTGGGCTGTGGCAACCTTGCACTGGCAACTCTTCGGTGCCATACAGCTGTGGCTATAAATTATTTATCGCGCACATATGTACATATGTACATACGTTGCACTGTTGCCACAAATTTTTAAAACGTCATTTATTATAAAAATTTTATCGCTTCTGGTCTGGCTTCAGCGTTCCTCCTTCAATACAAAACGGCAGCGGACTTTGGCTAAGGATCAGCTGAGCTGTAATTTTTCGCGCGCATAATTTTATTCTCATGATTTTTTTTTTTTGTTTTTGCAGTTTACTCTTTAAAATAAATTTTCCCATAATTGATTTAATGCTTTCGATTATCTTAAGTTTATTATTGTACATACATACGTACCCGTATGTGTTAAGCGTTGTTTTTTCGTTTTAAATAAATTTGGTAATTTTCTTATGCTTTTTTGTTTTATACTAATCGTTCGATTGTTTTCTTGTCGTTGCAGCATCCCGTATGCCATCGTCCCATACATCACCGCAAGTGTGTCGGCCGCACTTTCATCCGCCCCTCGGTTCATGGCTTACCAGCGAGCATAAATCATTCGCGCCCGCCAGCCCATGGGGCAGTCCGTTTGCATGCCCTCAAGATCCGCAAGTAGACCATAAGGTTGGCCAAATTGGCCAGAGCCATCAGACGGCGGCGGGCCAACATTCGTTTCCGTTCCCACCGACACCGCCAAAGGATTCCACACCCGACTCAGTACAAACCGGTCCTTCGGAGTATCAGGTGAGCATCTCGTGTAATGCCAAGCGATTGAGTAAATCTAAAAGAGGGAACAATTTTATTGGCAAAAATTTGAAAAAAATATTATTTGGAACAGTCACCTAATAAAAATTTTAAATAAAAAATTGGGAACAGGCCGTTGAGGTTTTTGTTTTTATAATTTCAACCATATTCAGTGGTTTGTTACTTTTTAGTCACGTATGTTAATTAAATTTCAATATATAAATTTTTTTATTTGAATTTTTCTAAATAAAAATTGTGATTAAATAACTTTGTTTAATGGGTCTCTATTGCATTCACTCACTCTTGCTTCAGTAAACGAAAAAATAATTTACAATTTTGATTGATCCTGATCAAATTTAACTGGAAAAATTTAAATTTTTCTATTAATTATTAAAAACAAAAATCAAAGCACTGTGTTTTTAAATAAAAATCAAAATAGAATAGTTAAAATTGGATTTATATCTTTCCATTAAAATTTAAGCGTTATTTTCAAATAAAATTTGTTTCGATTATAAAAGATTTAAAATAGTTATAAAACCGCTGTCTCCATCATAACGCTAAAAATTATTGAAAAGTTATAAATCCCAAATAAGTACTACTTTTGATCGACTAAAATAAAAATTACAAAATAACAACTAAATCGACTGAAAAAATAATAACAAAAATTCAATTAAATTAAAAAAGTCTTTGATCGAAGAAATAAATGATTTAAAAATAAAGATCTTGGTATTTAACGGTGATTTCCAGTACCTCATTATTACGGATTAAAAATTATCGAAAAACCAGCACTACAAGAAAAAAAATCGATCAAATCTGACCGAAATATAAAAATCCAAAATAACGTTGATTTCTGTTCGCCTAAATAAAAATTAAGAAAAAATAATTTTGATATGATCCAAAAATAAAAGATCTTCACATAAAAAATATTGGCACTAGGAACATATCAAAATAATCGTTATTTTGGTTACTTCTTTTAAGATAAAAATAAGCCCTTAAATATATATCTAAACTTTGATTTTAAAAATTCCATTTCCAACCCTTAACTCTTTTCCTCGCCTCTTTATCTCTCTCGCCCTCTCCTTTAGGCCGTTGTGAACGCTTTCATGCACCAGGCGCAATCTTCCTGCTCTACCTCACTAGCGGACACGAGTTGTGCGCTGGACATCAAACCCTCCATACAGAATGGCCTCGGCAGCCTAACGCACAATGGCAGCCAGCAGTCGTCGTCGGCGCCAAAGCAACGTGAAGGTACTAACAACAACAATAATAATAATAACAACAACACAGCGAATAGTAGTAGTTCGCAAAATAATAATAACAACGGCAGCAATAATAACAATAATTCCGCCTCAGCATCCAACAGCAGCAGTCACAATCTACATACGCACTCGTCCAGCGCCAATGCCATCTCCGCCCTTAACGGATCAAGCCTATTCGATGGCACCGCGCAAGCGCACTACGCCAACAGTCTAGGCAACAGTAGTAGCGGCAATAGTGGACTCGGTTTGGGTGGAAATGGCCTAACAGCCAATACATCACTTGGCAGCGCGGGTAGTAGCGCGAGCGCTATGGGCGGCTATGATGGTACATATGCCTCTTATGCGGCGCATCACCACCTGGCCAACACATCGGCGGCGGTGGCACATCATCAGGCAGCCGCTGCAGCGGCGGCGAATATGTTTCAAAGTTCCTCAATGGCAGCGGCGGCTGCAGCGCGGCATAGCATGTCGAGTGGCCATCATTCGCATCATCATATGATGGGTGGTGCGACGACAGGTTCGTCGTCGGGCCTGGGCCAGAGCCATGGTGGCAGTAGCGGCGGTGGCGGAGGCGGCAGCGGTGGTCTTGGTCTAGCTGGTTTAGGCGGCGGCAGTTTGGGTGGCAATATGTCGGCAGGTAGTCATGGTCATGGGCATGGTCATGGTCACAGTCATGTGCATAGTCATGCGCATAGCCATAGTCAGGATGTGAAGCCGGCGCGAACGAAACCGAGGACCAGTGCTGGTAAGCAAGACAAAAATAGACCCATTTCATATGCAAATGTGATGGTGTGGGTGAATAATATATGTGTATATTTGTGGTTAGAGTTGTGCCTTAAATGTTGACAAAAAAAATAACTAATTTAACAAAGCAAAATTTTATTATGTGGTTAAGTTGATGAATATCAGAGAGAAATGCTGTAATTTTGCATAACCGTTAGCTATGAAAACAGTGCATATATCTATTAGGATATTATAAATATATGTACATTAGGGCGGATCAATATGAGTGATAGATTTTTTCTACTATGCACGTAAAGCACAGAAGGATTCTATGTGTAATTCTAGGCGAATTTACCGAAGAAACAATGGGTCTAAAATTAATTTCCGTAAAAATTTCAAATTGCCGTAAAAAAGTGCCTAAATTTTGTCTAAAAATATGCTATAAGGCGTTTTTTGGTATGAGGAATCCATTTCTGCACCTCTTTTTTTATTAAAACTTTCAACAGAGGGCGCAACAGTGAAAAATTTCACATTTTCTTCGAAACATATTTTCACAATTTGGCAAACTTCAAATTGATTTTAGACCCATGATTTCTTCGAAAAATGTGTTTAGAATTACTCGTAAAATCCTCCAGTGCTAAGCGCGCATAGTAAAAAAAAGTTGACTCGCCCTTATGTATATATAATTGAAAATGATTAAAATTTAATTAAAAAATTATCGGACACACAGAAGGCACAACCCTATTCAGATTTTTCATTACTAAAACGATTACATTTTTGTTATTACCGTACCGTATTTTATTAACACACATATTATTTTAGTTAAAAAATTTAGTTTTTAAAGCATTTAAGTTTTAATTACTCATTTTAATCATATTAATTTGGTGATTCTTACTGTCCATATTTACAATTCCACTGGCTTGGTTTAAGATTCCTTTTGAATATAATTTCTATAAAACATGATCGAAGAAAATTGTGGTATAGAAACCGAAGAGATAAACCCATGAAAGTCAACAGTATCTTTGGATCCGATGTTTTTGGTTAAGACAAAAAGTTAATTACAGTATGGAAATACAACTGCCAGAGAAATATTGGCAAAACGATGAGCACAAAGCGCAGTAAACTAAATAAAAGTAAAAATTTAAAAAATACATATCAGTGATCCTCTGCAATAACGACACAACTCAAATCTTCATGTATTTAAGTTATATAGCGGATTAGGTCGATAAGTAAACACATTTTTTTGTTATCAATCCACCTTGGGGCGCAATTGTGTTATTGGTTAGAAAATGAAAGCTGGCAACCCATTTTCGGACTTATTTCGTTTAACTATTTAATAATAGTCACTTATAGTTTATGTTAGCTTTTCCGCAAAAAGGAACCCCCTCGGTTAAGGTTTCCATAGAAGGCACTCACAATGGACAACTTTGTCTCCGAGTGAGAGTTTTTTAAAGCATCCGATTTTTATTGTCATCTGTATTTGATACAATTAACAATTAAAAGAATAAACGTTTAACAATATGTACAGAGTTTACCCAGTGGTACAACCATACCTTTCATGTGATCACCTTGAACACTCAGCACAATAGACCTTTTGTTGACTTCCTCTTCAGTCGGGTGAACAAAATTTCGGCAGATCTCATTTATACAGGGGTCTGGGTGAGTTTCCATCGGCAACTGTGGGACGTAATATGGCGCATTTACAATCAATCTGAAAGTTTTTGATTCAAAACCTTTGGAATATTTCAATATAAGAGTTTTCCACGGTGTCTCACATCTGAATATCGTACGTCCAGACTGGTTTTAGAATTATTGAATATAAGAGTAGTTTATTGTCGACTGAAAACTGGAGGTGTGGGTTCATAAGCCACTGAATATTTCTGAGTTTTAGTCCGAGTTCCTTCGGGGCATGTCAACTACGTTTAGAATCGGGTGGGCAGATGTCGTGCTTAAGAGTGAATGTTACCTACAAAGAATTTGAGTCATTGGATTTATTCGAGACTCTTTTAGCCAACAAGCGATTTTGACTAAGCTTTCGTGGAGTTTCAGTGAAGTCAAATTTGATAGAGCATCAACTGGTAACTTTCTCTGTAGAAGAAAGATCATGAGTGTAGGGTGAATAGAGTATTGGGCCCATAACACTGTCTTGTGGTACAGCTGCTTAGCTTTCATAGAGTACGGAATGTTGCATACCCTGTTTGCAGAGAAGTAGCGATTTTTTTCGGTAAGTGTGAATAAATATATAATAGTTGATTGCCAGGGTGGTTGTAATTTTATTTATATTGTTCGAGAGCCGAGTGATTTTGCTGAGATTGCTGTGTTCTTTTCTGAAGCCAAATTGGTGATTGGATATGAGGTTTTCTCTTCCATAATTGGAAGTACCCTTTTAAGGAAAATCACTTCCCTGAACTTGAAAGAAATGGATAGTAAACCAATTTGACTATATGATTGAAATTTTTCTGCGCTTTTTCCTGATTTAAGTATCATTTTTACTTGTGGAACTTTTCACCGGGGCCTGTTGCGAGAACAGGATTAAATAAATGAATCAGAAAAGTGATGTACTCCGAGGGTATTTGCTGAAGTAAACTTCTTGGAATTAAGTAATATCTAGGGGATTTTTTGGGTTAAAATTTTGAATTTCTATTTAAACCAGGGACCGAAAACAAAAGGTACGATCGAGATTATATGCCTTTTTCGTAGTTTTGTTCCGAAGAACGGTTCAAAACCCAAACCAAAATGAGAACAAAATTATCGAGAACGTTATCAAATGGAATTGTATAAGAACAAAATCTTGTGGAACATTCGCAGAGAGAACAAATTGCGAACAATATTTTCGGGAAGATTTCTAAGTGAACATAATGGGAAGAAAAGTAGTCCGAACGTTTCGCCAAAAAAACTGAAGGGGAACAAAAGTCTAAGGAACTTTCTGTCATATAACCATTTGGAAACTAAAGTCTCACTAACTTTCTGCCAGAGAACGAAAGGAGAACATATTTTCTCTGAACTATTGGCAAAGAATTGAAGCGTTCATAGCGTTCATTAGTTTGAAATGCTTGAATTTTAAAATTAATCAAAAAAGAACTGAAAGATAACTATGCAAATTGAGGCAATGAAAGATTTAAGATACTAGTTTTTCTAGGGCCGAAAATTTCAAATTGATCCATAAATGGTAAATTATCTGGAAGTTGAAATGATCCAGATTTCCTCTGGCTTAGAATTAACATGTAGTTCTCACTGAAACGATTTTATATCCCAGTATGCAGACGCCTCTCTCACTCGTAACGTTAAGATCTCAAAATATTTGTTCTCGTTTTGTTCTCTAGCAGAACGTGTCTCAGACTTTTGTTCTTATTTGATGCTGCCTTAAAACGTTCTCGATGCTTTAGTTCTTATTTAGTTCTCACTGGAAACGTTCCCGAAAGTTTCGTTCTCGTTCCGTTCTGCTATTGTTCGCCGATATGAACATAAATATGTTTGTTTGCACTTCTAACTGCATAACACTTGATGTTTTAAATACAAATATTGTTTAAAAAAAAAACAAATAAAATTGCAACCACTTCTTTTCTCTCTTCAGGGCGTGACTTTTTGTGAGAATTTTCTTAACTTGACTTTTAAGTAACTTCAAGTGCTGTCTGCGTGAACGAAAAAAAATACAGCCACCGCATACCTTACATCCAGCCAGTGGGGCTTGCTAAAGTCAGTTTCCGTTCTATTTTACTCCCCTACGCGTCGTTCTCATGCGCTGCAGCTTCAGCGTTGATGCATTTCCTCAGCACACATAAATTTTCTCCCGCACTTGAGCATGTAAACAAATTCCCGCGTGCTTGCACCGCTACCCCTGAAACCTTGCCATTAAAATTGTTTGTATTTACCCAACAGCTTGAACGCCAACCCTTCACTTACGCGCTTCCGCATGCCAGCCAGCCAGCTAGCGGCGGCTAAAATAAAGCTTATGCAAATTGCAAGCAGTGTTGCCGCGAAGCATTTTTAGTGGTAGCCAAAATCCTTTAAAAAAAGGGCTAAAAAAGAGCTAAAAAAAGTTGTTGTTGCTAAAAATGGTAGCTAAAATTGTGTACTTACATAATCATATATAAGTATACACGCAAACATTTTCAATAAGTAATGGTATAGAAAAACAATGAACCCTGGAAAAAAGCTAATATTTTATCCAACCAAAAACCTCTTTGTATAAAAGGGGAAATATACGACACCAGCTTGCTGGATCGATCAAGTGATTGTACCATCAAACTCGAAGCATATAACTTACCAGCATGCTGGTACAATATTTATTTCTTTACTAATGAGGTCGAGGAAAGATCGAAATGATTTGAGCCGAAATCTCATAATTTTTCTACCATTTTGTTAAACATTGTTTTTTTTTTAATTCACAACTGCAATATCGTGAACTTAATATTCCACAAACACGGCTTTGAAATTTCCGCCAAAATATTGTTTACTTAGAAAATTTAGCTAATTTCACCACTCACGACACCAGCACGCTGGTACAATCATACAATTTTCAAATAGTTTTTGAAGTCGCACCAGCAGCTGGTACAATCACAAGAACATACAAGGTCAATCGACTTTATGGGCCATTTAACTAATGAAGCATATTAGGGGCCAGTTTTTCAGTGCACGGCCGTGGTTAAAACTAAGTTTAAACGCCCGATCTGGCTGGTTTAAACTAAGATCAGCCAATCAAGTGTCAGCCAGCTGTTCAATTTAAACCCACCTTACTTAATCTGAGTTTAAACAGGCACTGAAAAACTGGCCCCAAAGGCGGTAAACTTATCTATTTTAAACTATAGTTAAATCGTTAATAGATAAGTTAAAAAACAGCCCTAACACTTATACAGTATGTATGTATAAAAACGTAACATACAATACATATATGTCAGTCTTTCTTAGTTTAAAATTCATCTCTTACATATTTATATACAAAAAAAAATAGATCAAATTAAGCATATACAACTTTTTCATGCCCAGTATGAATAAATTCTCCAAGGGGCTAAAAAAAGGGCT